TCACTCATGGGAGTGGAAGGGTTTATTTACTTGAGCTGACATCTCAACAAACCCGTGAAACAGAACATACCTTTCTCGCATTCTTTTCCAACAAAACCTGGGGGGCACACACATTTGCATCTGCACCTCTCGTTTTCTGCCCCCCCCCCCCCTTGGTGAAAAATAATGATTGGTCTTAGGGAATGAGTTTCCTGTTAGTAGCGAAGATCATGCATGTTCCTTGTTACTGAACAAAAATGTATCCCATGGCTTTGATGTTTTTATCCCCATTGTCTCCTCCCCACCCAGCTGCGTTTCCACAGGTATTGGAGTCATCATGTCTTCCTCCCCCACCGAAACCCAGTCTGGAATCACAACTGTCGCAGTCATTCTATTCGTTGCCAAGGATGCCAATTCTAACCTTGGGATGATCAGAAGATGGTGTGTGAGCATTAAACCCTTCTCTATTGCAATATGGTTGCAACGAGGCTTCCGAACCGAGCAGCGACTTCCATGTATTGCGACCCAGTGAAGTGATACGATATTCTCCATCAGCGATCAATGAGAAGAGCGATTCAGCGGTCTTATTGATAAGAATGAAGTTGATGTCATTGTTCTTCTTCATACCCAGGCAGATCTTGTTGAAGTTTGTGCTCCAGTAAGTGGGCAACTTGGACTCTTGTTCGTCAAACCCTGTCATTCCCGCAGAAGTATTCAACTCCGTCATGTTACTCCAGATCGCTGAATCATAGTGGAAAGTGTTCTGGGAAATAATGATATTATCAATTAACATTGACAACTGTTAAGAGTCTCTGGAGATAAAAATATGATTTTCAAGAAATATAGGTGGGTACCACAAGGGGACAATCAGAACTCAAAGTAAAAGCTAGCAAACTGAAAGAGGCGCGGGAAAACGCGGGTCACCATGAATGGCTTTCGCTTCATGTTGAATCTGATTGGTTTAGTGAGACAGTGGCTCAGTCCCAGATTCAGCTGAAAAATGCTCTGTTTATTTACTTGACAATTCTGTTTACCTTGGAGCCATCCATCTTCATTACCAGTGTCTAACCACCGTCTCTACACGCACCAAGACTCGTCATGTGACAGTAAACAGGGAGTGTATCTGATCCAAGGTGTAGGGGGTAAGCTCGGCTACTAATTGGGCCGCTAGGAAGATAAAAACATGATTAAATGAATAAAATCATATCTGGACTTGCTGATGTTATACAAGTATAAGAAATGAACCACACAAGGGAGATTAAAAGGAAAAAGTACAGAAAGAGAAGTTTGAAATAATTCGGGTTTCAAAGAGATTCGAACCCATGCCCCCAAGTTCCACCAACTGCGCCACGAAATATAAGGCCTAAATTTTATTATAGGGTTTTGAATTCCTCAAAGGAATCTGATCACAACAAACTGAGGAAAGATGAGGAAACTCATGGTCTCTTGTAAAATTTACACGAAATAAATCACTTTTTGACGGGTGAATGATGTTCAACTAAAGAAAAGATCATCGCGGGTTGCCAGCAATTAAAAAAATTACAGAAAATGAACAGAGTATTGTGGAGCGGCGCTTTCATAAGTCAATCAATATCTGAACGGAGGAGAAAATGAAGGAAGATGCTTACATGAGATTACAAATGGAGAATCTTTTGACTTCTAACAGTATCTCAACAAAAGAAATCTCAAAATGTTTCCTCGAAATGCAAGTTTTTAATTATAAAGTCTGATGTGTTGAAATGATCAAATTTGGTGGCTTAAATGATCAGGACTTACATGTTTTTGTCTCTTCTGTCGTTTATTATCTCCATGCAGCTTTCAGCAGCTTATGAAAAGAGAACATTGATAACACATTCATAGAAATGTTATTTCACCTACTTGAATCACTTAATTATGATTTTGCCACCGTAAATTGAAGAACCTGAGGAAATTTAATTCAGTTCTCTTTTTTTAAAAGAGATTCTCTGAAATCTAATCACAATAAATATGGTAAACTGGATCGGAATCAGGTCAGTAACTTCAAATTTCTCAGTCATGAGCTGGACAATCATAAGAAATTAAAGAAATCTAACAACTTAGCTGTCGCGTACATGTACTTTCTGATAATGCTGCCTGTTGGTGCATTTTCAAATTATTCGGCAGAATGTGGATGGGAACTATTTATGAGTTTCATAGAGTGAAACTGCCACTTTCCACATTTTTCACTGGTGCGCATTGCTGGAGAGATTCAGTCCAGTGGACTAGATTCTACTTAAGAAACGAACGAGAGAAAGACCAGGGGACCTGGCAACGAACAGTTCAACGCACGCGGGAGAGTGGAGCCAGCTGAGGAGAGCTGAGAAAGAAGGCGAGGAGAGGCAGCAGAGGCGATCCATGGCGATGGCTTTAGTGCTTACAGGCACAATGAGAAGTGACTGACCATGCCGTAGACAGAGCTGAGCTGAAGGACAACAAGACACTGAAAGGAAAACCTGAAACGACGAGATGACACGATAGCAAGACGAGATGAGTGTATCGCACGACGAGGTAACGAGACGACAAGACGAGATGACGAGGCGACACGACGAGATGACGAGGCGACACGACGAGATAAATGTATAGCACGACGAGGCGACAAGACGACACGACGAGATGAACATTGTTCTCCGCGAGTTGTCGCCATAGTTACCTTAAAGGATTTAGCCAATTGTCCATTGAGCAAGAAATATGGGCCAATAGTATGCTAGATACATAGACCAATCCTTACCAACCAACCAAGTGTGCAAAGAATGATCTAGCGAGGCATGCGTTCAAAGTATGGAAAAAAAATTAGAGCGATTGCAATCAACTAACTTCTAAGACTTTCCAGGGTTCTCGAACAAATTGTTTTTCCTAATCAAAGAATTATGAACATAAAATTTCTGGGATCGTATTTCTTAAGTTAACACTTCCCCTTCCAAGATCTCATTAGTAATTCCCCTTACTGTCTGCCATACAATTCTTATGATGTTAGTTTGGAGAATTTGGTTCTGGATCAGATGATGATCCTTCTCAACACTTGCCTGCTTGATATTGTATTGAAGTTGTAAGGAGAACTTCTGTCAGGGTCACTCATCAACCTCGTTCCCAGGGCCTTTTCCCTCAACTAAGGGAAAAGGCCCTGGGAACGAGGTTGGATCACTCATGGGAGTGGAAGGGTTTATTTACTTGAGCTGACATCTCAACAAACCCGTGAAACAGAACATACCTTTCTCGCATTCTTTTCCAACAAAACCTGGGGGGCACACACATTTGCATCTGCACCTCTCGTTTTCTGGATAGCAAGTCCCACCGTTCTTACAGGAGTTGGAAGAGTTGAGAATCTTCAAAAACAATGCAGTTCACTATCACTGCAAGCTTTGAATTTAAAAGTTATCTGCTCCCCTTCTACATTTTTAGATAGGAAATCTAGACCACACTTTTTCTTTTTTCACTCTGGACCGGGTTGTTCAACAGGATTAATCTAGTACGGGGTTAGTGCAAATTTTTAACTTAGTTTTATAGTTCTGCTAAGGGATTTTTCGTTTGTAATTTTTCCCTTTAGTTTCTAGTCATATTGAGAGAAGACCCAACAACGCCTTAGCTCTTATACGCGCTCTTCTACATGAGAAATTAAAGCCAAGGTTAACTTTTAATCCTAGATTGACTTTAACCCCCTTTCCAGCAACCCGGCCCTTATGGCTAAATCAGTAATCCTACAGCCACATGCCTCCTGTCGTTCTCCGGGGACACTCCAAAACAAATCCATTACAACTTGTAAAGATAATACGAAGTAAAATCCGCGTCCACGAGCCGAAAATAGTTATAGAGCATGGTTTACCGGGTTTTCAGTCTGCATCGCGCCGACCAAAGAGAAAAATTATAATACCTGAATAAAAATAACACATAAATCGTTGGAAGTGCCCCCTTACCTTTGCACAAACACCAATGACGTCTCCTAGGGACAAACGGTTACTATTTATCTCCATGCTTTTCTCCGCCTAAAAAAAATCGGTCAATATTTTGACTTGACACTGCGCTACACAGAAAATTACATGTTAGCAAAATTGGATGAGGTTGAACATGATATTTAACAATTATTCCACGAGAACGCGTNCCGGATGTTACAATGTACAGATATTAGATTATGGTATATTGGCTCATATACCATAATGGCTAAGCCAATAAAATGTCTTGTATTGCATTATCTAATGATCCAGTTTTTAATAACATGAATTATCAAAACTGAGGTCTAAGTTATCTGCCGAGACCGAGGGCTGGGCAAATAACAAAAACACGAGGTTTGGTAAGTCATGATATCATGCACAAACCGACGTCAACAATTATTTTATTGTACATCTTTTGAAACAATCTGCAAAAGAAAACACTTCTTTCTGAGTTTGGAAATGTTTGAAAGCACTACACCCACGAGGCGCTTGAAAACTAAGCAGACTTAAAACTGGACACTGTAAAATAATGAAATATCCGCTGCACATGTTGGGTTATCATTTCAACTTCACGCGCTCTTGCATACGGCTCTCGACCAAGCAGAGTTTTCATAGTATGTTTAACAATGAGCTTTAAATCATTGCTGGGTGATAACGGTGTTATCATCAAAGTTAACTAATTCACTATCAAGAAGCGAAAAAAAAAAAAAACCAAACAAAAACTATATGAGCTTGAGGCCGATGACCAGAGTATCGAATAACTTACCGTTCTTAGACCATGCACGGACTTAGACAGTCTCCTAAAGTCATTTATAATTAGCAAAGGAACCACAAGCATAATTAACAAGTACTTTATAAGGGAAAAAAGGTAATTAACAGGACTTGAAATTTCCGAGAACAATATCTAAAACACCTTTAACTTTTGCATCCATTTTAACATCCCTAGCGACCCTACAATCTGATTGGCCCTCAGCGATGCAATTTTTTTTTTTTTTTTTCATGAAGGGTACTAGTTTTTGCTCTTGCATGGAGTGCTCCGCTCTTTTACAGATTATCCTTATGGCTTTGTTTATTTGTACATTTAGATTTATTTCTTTTTCATCATTGCCATTAAATTGTAATAAATAAAGAAATAAATGAATAAAAGGTTTCAAGGCGTGTTTAAAGTAACGAATTAAATTACAGAAAAATGAAAGATGGAAAAATGCCTCTGAGATATTCCGTTTTGCTTTTAAATTAGATTTAACAAAAAAAGGGCTACCGTTTCCTTTTTGTACATGCCAGGTGCTGGATAGGTAAAAACAGGGACTGAACAAAAAACCTTTTCTAAGATGAGTCAATTTCGCAATTTCAAAAAGGATGCATGTGATCGAGTGGCGACGGACGCACAACTTTGGTCTGAATCAAATCGGACTCGCACTGCGCACTCGTTTCATTTGAATTCATACGTATCATTTGGAACCCAGTTGCACTCCACCCAGTTCAATTGCATTGGCACTTAACAACAGGGCGTCCACTTTTTCCACTTCAAAGCACACCCCACCTTTAAATCTGTATTTTCCTTACAAGTTTCCGCTGAAGAATAGTTATGTTTTCCTCCAAAATCCTGATCTTGTCAGCTTCAGTTGTCAGGTTTTTTGTGTTGTCCTCCAAAGCCCTAATCTTTTTGTCATCGTTAGTTATCAAATTTTTTATATTCTCCTCCAAAGCCTTAATCTTGTTGTCAGAATCATTAGTAAGGCTCTTTATGTTCTCCACAAAAGCCCTCATGTTACCAGCATCAGAGAGAGCTTCAAAAACAAAGAAAAGATTATCAGCTGCCCTGACAAAATTAGCAGCAATGTACCAGTGACTCACTGATACCAACCGATGTGGTTTTCTTTGTTTCGAAAATGATTAAGAGAAACCTTCCTATCGTGGAAATCATGCGAGGAAAAGAAAAGTAAGACGAAAGGAAGGAAGAGGGTTGTGATTTTAGTCTGAATAGAGTAATATTTGCATTGCCACATAGAGGATGACAATGTTTTGAAAGCTTGGTCGGAACGATTGAGGTCCCAGATCAAACTCAGTGATTCGATTGCCCGCAAAGTATTCTTACATGATCGCGGAAACTCAACGAACTGACCTAATTGTGACTGCTAAAGGCGACCTATTTAAAAGACCACATGGTCAGGTGAAATATAAAAGTCAATCCTAGATATGTGTATTCCATATGGCCGGTTTTATAATTATTGTATCTTGTAGGACTCCTGACAGATCAAAGTTCAGTTCAACAGCTTGTGTATTACAATAGAATACCACATTTGCAGATAAAACTTATTGTTAACACAGCAAAACTGATTAGAACTGGTTTCGCAACCTTTTCTTTTCTCTTTCTTTTACCCAACTATGGGCATACCGCGACTCAAGTTTTCCAAAATTCCCTTTACGTTATTCGTTGGCACAAGCAAACCTTTTTGCAATCATTACCGCTTCGAGTGTGTCCGGAATCGATTTTTTTTGTATTCATTGACGAATTTCCCATGTGTTTCTATCAAGAAGTAAATCGCCATATGTTGACTCACATTTTGACTAAAGAGAGTTTCACCAAACTACTAACCTTCATTTCTGGAGCAGTCACACTTTCTGCTGCCTTTCTCGGACACCATCAGCAAACTTAGAAAAAGGGCAACAACTGAAATCAAACACGCGATGATAACCAGGCCCATATATCGCCAGTTTGGTCGCTTCACCCCGTTCGATCCACCTTCCAACGTTTCGTAAATTGTGTTCGGTGAATCAACTTCCGCTCCAACTTGGCCGTCGTCCTCTTTTGAGTTATTTCTGATTTCTTTTAGATGCACTGGTTTCTGCATAGTTGGATCGTCACCGTCGTAGCCTTTGTTTATCGCAACTTTTCGAGGGGATGAATTCATCTTGATGAAGTGCGCGCCAGTGTGAGCCGATCTAAGAAATGGCATGAACCATCTGATCGTGGCTAAAATTACCCTATTTTTGGTTTTGATGTGCCCCCTAATATGCAAATGCAATTGCAATATGCAATTGTTCACACTCTGTGTTATATAATTAATGGGGTCAAGACAGGAGATCCCTCCACGGCGCATTCATGGAATATATATTTCTCTCTGCTTGACGTTGCAATTTGAATTTTTGATCAAAGATTCTTTTACGTCAGAAAAAAGTGAAATTAAAAAAACAAAAAACAAAAAAGCCAAAAAAAAATTAAAAACAAGATACTTTTAATATTTTGACATTCAAAATGCTATTAGCGAGTTCCAGTTGAGTATGTACAAGCCATCTAAAACAAATTGGAGCATTTTTATACAGAAGCAGAATACAAAAGCATCGATTCACAGCGGTTATTATTTTTTGTGCTCAAGACAACCAAACTATTTTATATTGGCCCTATTGAGTTTATAGTTTTTGAAAATTTGCCTCAGCTGTATCTACTTCACCCACTGGGAGGGAGGGGAAAGAAATGGAGTAGTCTAGTACCCAGACCCTTTCATGGTCAAGCGGTTTTCAGTTACAGTTGCACTGTAGGATCTGAGTACGAGTCTGCGAATAGCCCATTTCCGAATTACCCTTGGCCTCTTTTTCAAAACGAGGCCTGGTGCTCAACCATTCTTGTGAAAATTAAATGAGTTTAATTTGCATGTGAATGAAAACTTATTATCATATGAAAGGATGAGCACAAGGACTCGTTTTGAAAATGAGGCCATGGGTAATTTGGAAATGGGCTATTCTTAGTCGAAGGCGAGGTTCACATCCTATCCTAAGTTATCTCGGTAAACTGCTGCCAAAACTTGTTTCTTAGATTCAATGAGTAGTCTCCTTTCTTGACAGAGAATCAACCAAACGTTAGTTAATGTTCCTGTGCTGTAAGACAAAGAGAAGCAAGATAATGCGCCTTTCTAAGGCCGTCAAAGGCAAAGAAAGAATTTGGTTCCGACAAAAGTTTATCCAGGACTACACGTTGAAGCCTCGTTGGCAATCGAAGTCCTCATTGTCTTTACGAGCTTATATGTGATTTCAGGCGAATAGAAATGTAAACTTTACATGGCCTTTATTGTTCCATATTTTAGATATTGCTCAGCAGTTTGGATGAGAAGTCTCTGCACTACCAGGAGCTACTGAGCAAAATTAATTCTTGTGATCTGTATAGTATTAGGTGCCAAGACATGATGAAAATAGTTTTAAGACAATTCAGTTCGAAACGATGCCGAAGTACATACGAGGTCTTTTTCAAATGAGGAGTACTGAATACAACCTACGAGGATCAAGGAAACTAGTTATCCCATATGTCAATACAACCACTTATGGTCTTCCCTCCTTCAGATACAATTCTGCAAACATGTGGAACAAACGAACAGAGGACCTGAGGTCATTGACGTCGTTGAATGAGTTTAGAACTAAAATATGTCAAATTTCTTTCGAACATTAAATTTCCTTTGAACATAAATGCAATTGTTACTTATGTAAATAGTAGTGTAATGTACCGTATATAATATACGATTCTATTTGTTTTTATATATTTTATTTACTTATTTAGTTATTTACTTAATTTTTTTCTTTTCTCTTTCTCGGAGAAATTAGTTATACAGCTACTCTTGTAAATCCGAGGTGGATTAAAGGTAATGTATGTATGTATGTAGACGGCACAGGTTTCCGGAAACAATACAGAATAATAAACGCACTATTTAAAATGAAGAAAATTTCCTTTTAAAATTTATAAGTTACAGATTAAACTTTTAGTCTTAATAACGACACATATAATTAGTCGCAATATTTTATGATTTACAAAAATTTCATTTCACAGTCTCCACAATTGCGTATTGCAATTTTAATCTTCTTTAAGAAGCGTCACGCCGTCACGCATTATAGTTACAAGTCTTGACCTTTGACCGAATATTTTTAAAACTGAGCTTTTGCGTCATCTCCGAAAACGAAATCAGTAGTTGGACTGTAACTGGACTACATGTCTATCAGGTAAGTTAACCGTTTCGGGAGTAAAGCAGAGTTTAGCGAAATGATTTTGATCAAAAAGCGAGCTTTCGGCTTTTCCCTAAGTACGTTTAGTCTATCAACACAACGACAATATGCAGATTAGTGTAAATTCTCACTAAAATATTCAGATTTTGATGGCGTTTTATAAAGCGCTCGCGAGAAAACCCAACCATTCCTTATATTTCTTGGAAGAAGAGCACTTGGGCACTCAACAGTCATTAGATGAACCTGATCGGGAAATGGCCACATATCGAAATTTCGGTCTGTAATTAGACGGTAAAACTATGTGTACTCAGGCTATTATCAAATCGCCATTAAAGATTGTGTTTTTCGTTGAGAGAAGTAAAACCTAAAAGCAAAAACCAGGCATCAATAAAGTGCTTAAGACTTCTACTTTTGACATGGATGATTAATTTTCGATGTTAAGTCTTCCACTAAAGACGCGAGGACGTTCTTGCGATTGCTTATTTGGCTAATTTATACAGCTGTTTTTGGCCATGGAGAGCGCGAAATCGATTTTCTCAAATATTTCCGAAATTCCGAGGTACTTTGAAAAATAATTCCCGAAACCTTTGAAAACTCGTTAATAGTTACTAAAAAATTGAAAATGAAGGTAGATTTAATTTATGACCGTGGCCGCGATTTTCTCAATTTGATCGTTATTTTTGTGCATTTCCTCTTGAGTCTGAATCGTAAGCGTGGCTGTTTAAAAAAGATAGCTTTCTACCTAATTTCGTCGATACTCAATCTAGGCAATCAGATATTTATCTGCCAATTAACAATGGTGCTTTTATCCATAGTGTATAAGGAAATATATAAAGTAGGCTGAAACACATGCAAATGAAGTAACTCGAAGCTCGAAGCTGTGCCCTCAATACGTGTGTTTACTCTCCGGTTTTTTTAAGAATCTACAGGGACCGTCCACAAAATAGATTAGTTCTTAAAACAAAGGAATATCGCTAAAATGATCGTAGTTTTTAAGGATTTCCATCAATGAAACACTGGTATTTCTTATCAGTCCAAACCTATTAGGAGTTCTACATTTTAAGAAAAGTTCTGAGATTACACTGATGTCAAAACGAAATGACGGGTTTTTTTAAAAGACAGTTACTTTACTTTCGCCCACGAATCCAGTGAGCACAGCGATGCGACCTTCCGTTGTCACTACAATCCTTGGTGTAATGTAGTCCTTCTTCTCTTGGGTATCCTTATCCTCATATACATGAAAACTGGTCGCGAGTTCCGAGTCACCGCCGCGTGCGGTGAACACTGAAACTTTTCCAATTCCATCTGATCTATTCGCAATTAGGACGTGTTCGCTAGGGGAATGGAATGCTATTGTTTCAATTCCTTTTGCTTGAATCTTTTCGTACATTTGATGCTGCTGTTTTTTTCCATCGAACTTGGATTCGTCCACCCTACCATCGCCATACAATACCATCACGCTTCCACGATCAGTAATAGCGATATCTTTTGGTTTCGAGAGGGCCTTTGACTCTTGGGACTTCGTTTGCTCTTTTGGGTCTTTGTCTTCAGACTCTTTAGATTTCCTGACACCTTTAGGTGTGCCTTTAGCATATCCTGCCTCTTCCTGAGCTTTGGGCTCTTTTGGGTCTTCTCCTCTTGGACTCTTTAATCCATTTGACTCTTTAGGCTCACTGGGCTCCGCTGAGTCGTCCAGCTCAATGCTGCGGACGTGCTGGCCATCCTTGCACGAGTATAGTTCCACCACACATCGATCCGATGCAGGGTTCTCGTTGATAACAAGGATTTCCTTGTTGTTATTGGTGACCAGTGAGCAGCGTAATGATCCTTCCCTCAAGTGAAACCTGCTTTTCAAGTTACCGTATTGATCAAACACACGGACTTCGTGGTGATATTTATCTATCTTGATAAGCACGAACAGACTATCTTCATGATCAGTGCTTACCCCACAGACATCTTCGTCAGCCAACCGACGACTGAGTGGTTGGAAAGAGCGCAAAAAGCTGCCCTTTTCGTCGAAAATTTTAACCATCTGATCACCTTTGTCTACTACTATGAAATGTCCCTCTTTGCTTATGGCAATGTCCTCTGCAATCTTCAACTGTTTTTCTTTCTCAAGGTCTCTACCAAATGACCATGGGAAGCAACAATGCTTCATATTAGGGTTGTTAGAAAGCGTTTCAAGAACTCATGTCGCGCAATGGGTCAAATTTCTTCTTTTCCACCTCAATAAAGGGCCAAATCCAATCATTTGGATCGAGTTTGCTAGCAATTTCAGCAATTCGGCTAATTTCGTAAACGCCGCGATTAGTGTGGCACACACCCAAGAAACAGTTCGTTTGGTCGCTGCCACTGATGGAAAGTTTTTTCCGCTTTTAAGGATTCGTCTAAAAAGTTCCTTAACGTTTTCTTTTTTATTAAGATTTTCAATCGAAACTTTACATTCCTGTAATGCCATCGAAGGATCTTTAATCTTTGTCAGTATGGCAGCCGAGACGACAATATTTGCAGCAAGAATCTGCTCAGCCATTGGAAGGTTTCCACTATTAAGAAAAGCCTTTGCGTTGTCACAAGCCTTCTCGAAATTTTTCCTGGCTTCCTCAAGACTCTTACAAATAATTAATTTGAAGTGAACTCCAAAGTCGCAGAACAAAAGTCGTTTTTGAACGGTGCAGGTGCCTATAGCTTTGAAAAATCGGGCCATTACAAGTTTGAATAAAAATTCAACGTTACTCTTTTAAAGTGAACAGGATATGACCCTGAATATAGCCCCAGGCATATATCTTGCATAGTTTTGTTGATAAGTATGACTCCAACTTTACCCTCCCCATATTTCCAGTGATCTTGTTACTGAGGGAGCTGTAAGGTTGTGACATCGCTTTTTTCCCTTTTCGATCTGAGATTTGTAAAGGAATAGTCACTCTCTCCGAGTAGAGTCAAATTTGACATCAAACGCTTCTGTTTGTTGTTAACAGGTAATTGAGTCATACATGAACTGAAATTGTTGTCATTTGTTGCAACAATTAGCCGAATAGTCAAATGCAGGGCAGCTTTCTTTCCAACGATACATGTAGACACAAGGTGGCTTTTGACTGAAGAAATTCTATCAAAAATTCATTGAAGCCGCTCTATCAAGAATTTGTCTCGATCGAAAGCCTTCCTAACTTCTTAAAATCGCCCTTTTAGTTTGCTTTAGCTTTATTGATTAATTATCTTTAGTTAGACATTCTGTCTTATTGAGGAGGAGTTAGAAAATGTTTGAGGGCGATGAGAGGGACCATTGAAGGTTTTTATTATCTCTGCCAAACGTGTCTTGTAAACAGTTTTTGCTAAAACAGCATCCAAAGTGGAGATTATACATCAATTTACTTGCAACATTTGTTAGAAAACGAGCCAGTGCGTTTGAGTAAATGAAGGGGTGTTCATTTTCGGACACCGTTGTTTCGAAGGCGCGTCAAGAATCTTACAGATACCTTAGCATTCTTTCTTTCTTGTATCACATTTATTCGTTTTTGATCCAAAAGAATATAGCTGTTCCACTATTCGGTCCTCTAGCAGTGACGTAAAGATCATATTTTGATCTGTTGGCACACCCATTCTGGAGCGACGCTTATTTCAGGAATGTTGTTGTTTCGGTTAGACACCATCCGCATTATCTGCCAACAAATATAAATCTGACCCATGGTTGTCTGGAGCTGTTTGAACTCTAAAAATTCAGCTGTAGTTTACTCCAAAATTTGTGTATTATCATATTTCTGGCTTTTTTCACTTGATACAAGCTGAATACCAACGACTTAGGCTGCAATTTGTGCAAAATAATGTTGACGAATATGACACGTCTTTTGTTATTGCTAATTAAACCTTCTAAATGAAGGTTAAGTCAATAGAATGGAAGCTTTGTTGCGACATATAGCGATTGGTCAGCAACGATTTTCTATTTGAATTGTTGCATCGAATGCATTAAGGACATTTTCCACTAAAACACACTACACTTGCGAAATCTGAGCTCAGAGGCTATTAAAGTTATTTTCCAAGAGACGTTATGGATTCAGACGTGAAAAATCTGTTTGACACTGCTGTCAGCTTGCTTATGAAAAAGGCTCGGAGGACCACCGAAATGATGAAGGAAGAAGAGGTCGTTCGTGAAATCGAACATATAAAGTTCCAGTTGGATGCACTCGCAAAATCACATCTTCTTACAAGCATTACTTTGTTCAAAGAGGGCGTACTTTCCCTTTTCAAAATTCAAAGAAGGCAAAGAGGCGACTCTCGCACAGAAACAGCACAGGTAACCGCAGATTTGTCTGTAGAAAATCAGATAGACAGGTCTCGAGAATCACCAACAGATCTTTCGAGTGCACTTTACCGGAGTTTACAAGACTTCAAACTGACAAATTTAGATGAGGAAGGCCAAAGAGCGCTACTGACTGCAAAAGAAGATTTTCACCAGGCCCGCCTGAAAACAACAGAAGCGTTTAATAATGAAGCTCTGAGCACCTTGAATCGCGTTCAAGCGATTGCCATTCGCGTTGCAGCAAAAATTCTCGAAAACGTGGATCATCCACAAGAGGCCCTAGCGGTATGCAAACTGTGTCTTGAAGATCTGCACTCCTTGAAGAGAGTGCAGGAAAGTTTTGGCAAGGAGCTAACGAAGGGCTTCCGCAGACCTCTCTTTGGTAAGGAAGAGCGCAGGCAGATAATCGCTTCTGTTTGCCAAGTAAATCGAGCCATTTACGACGTCATGTCGATGATCTGTAAAGGCGGAGAGCTGCTCTCGCTACCTTTGATCGGCGAGGGAAAGGATGCAATAAATCCTCTGCATGACTCCAGAGTCGCCGAAATTCTGGGTAGACTAGACATGGAGCAGTTTTCTGTCCAGCCCTTGACGCTTGGCCAAGAAGATGGAAAAGATAACAAACTTAAAATACCACAGGGCATTGCTGCAGACACGCAGGGGCGCATCATTGTTGGCGACGAATGGGACTGCGATGTTAAAGTTTACGATCGCCTTGGCAAGTTCCAGTACTCATTTCCGTGTCCTCCGAGTGGCGAACCTAACAAAGTCTCAAGCATTGCGGATGTAGCTACCGATGACAGTGACAACGCCTATATCTTGATTGAGATGGAGAAGTCAGCGATGGCATGCTACCAAGTATATGTGTTTAAGAAACAGTCTATGTTACATTGTTTTTCTCTCAAAGAAGATCCCAGAAAAGTCTTAAGAATGACATTGAACAAACAAAACGAAGTTCTCGTGACAGCAGACGTTTTTGACCAAAACTTTACCAAGAGCATCGTGGAGGTTTACAACAAAGAGGGGCAGTTCATGCACAGCTTCGGGGAACAACATTTGAAATGTTCACAAGATTTGACCGTAGCCGGAGATGGCCGGGTTCTTGTCTTGGACAAAGATAATGATTGCTCTCTAACCATTCACGTCTTCTTTCCAAATGGAAGACATTCATTCCAGTTTAATGTAGATGAACAAAAAGAACCTTGTAACGATAGATCGAGGCCTTCCATTTCTTGTTACCATGCACTTAATCATGTAGTTGTGGCTGTGCCCTGTAAAAATTCTATGGGAACAGGACACTGCGTAAAAATTACCGTTTACGCCTTAAAAGATGACATACATGAATTCGTTCGAAGCATTGAACTCGCCGCAAACGAACAGGTTTCTACCCGAGGTATCACCGTCACCCTTAGAGGACACGTCTCAGTTGGTATACTTGATAGGAACGAAGGTAACAGCAGAGCGATTTTTGAGTAGAACAAGGCTGTGGTATATCGTTTCACATCGATATGTTTACGTTTGCTGTTGACTATGGCAATTCTGATTTCAAAACATACGTTGATCATGAAGATTTGAGCGCTGCATCTATTTAATCTAATTGTGGTCGCTCCATAGTTGTAAAAGAAGAAAAGGAAAACAAAAAACATGCGATGTTTGACTTGTCACACGAAAGGAAATGGAACCAAAAACAGATTGACGATAGGATCATTATCCGAGCAAAACCTATGACGTAAAGAATCCAAAAGTAACTAAAAACTATCCAACTCAGATTTACTTGACTGTTATCTAGAATTTAGGAGCGAAGGTATTGTCAGAAATCAATGTAAATTTGAGATTGAATTAAAGGTTTCGGTTCAAAATTAGTTTAGATTAGAATTTAAGTCAACATTTCAAAACTTGTGTCTAGGATGTTTTATACAAACAGGACATCTGTTCACAAAGTTGAATAGCTTAAAGAATATGTAGACTTTGTTCTAATGGGGTTGTCAAAGGATTCGCGTACCCGTAGATATCAGACTCATATCAGCTTCACCAACAGGCCCTGTTCGGTTTAGTGCATGATGTAATATTTGGCTTATATCTCTAACTATTAAACAGAGCAAATCGTTGTCAGTGTAAAGCACAGTGACAATTATTTATGATCTATGTAAAATGTTTCTTCCCAATGGTCAGATTGTTCAGACCAACACCTATCGCAGCGTGCATTTGACCATTTTTAATATTGGTGTCAGTCCGTTTTGTCAGGACGACAGTTTATGTTTTCGTTTTTGTCAAAAAGCCGCTAGATTCCTAGAGATGCGTGATGTGAAAGTAAACAGTAACTTGAATTAATAGATAGCGCGTCTGTATGATCTAGACCGGAATTGGTAGCACTAAAGGAAATATTCCAGGTCATTGTAATGCGAAGGATATATATTTTCGATTGAAAAAAGAGCCAATTTCATCACAAAAACCCTAATATAAGATGAAGTCCCATATGATCGGGTGAGAAATCCAGACCGATGTTGCACTTAAGGATGCAATCATCTGACTTAAATTAGCAAAAATAAACATTTTAGTTATCTCGCCGCCTAAACAAAACTTTCAAAATTCCGCGAAGTGCTCGAATGTTCTGAAAATACAGCGCAACAGCTTGCACATATATGCAAATCATGAGATTGGATTTCACTGAGTTGATAAAGAGAAAAAGCCACCAAAAAAAGTTCAAGTAAAGCTGACGTTTCGAGCGTTGGCCATTCGTCCGAGCGAAATCGCTTTGGGATTATGTAAATAAAGACGAAATATTAGTCAATAAAAAGCCCTGCCTTGTGCGTGGTCACCTAGCCAATTTTCTGTCCAAAGTGAGTCCAGGTGTAATGTAGAATTTTTCCACCACGGGTAAAGAGAAATGATTAGACTTTTCAATCATTTAGCTGTCATTCTTAGCTGTATTTGGTAAATTTACTGTGTCTTTGACGCCTCTGGTGGTGACAAACCTTGACTAGTTTTGGAAGAGCAGCATGGAAGATCGGTTCTCGTATCGAAATAATTTAAAACTACTATTGTTTTCTAAAGCTGGGTGGTTTCGTTATTTGGCAAGGCAGTCTTTGGATAAGTAGGATCGTTCTGATTGGTTTTTGCTGTGCAGCGAGTGTGGCGAACGAGCAGCAAAAAAGTACACTGGGGATGCACATATATGCAGATCATGAGATCGAAAAGTATATTGAAAAGTATATTGGGGATGCGAATTCTCGATCTTATCACTTTTTACCAGAATGCATTGCAGCTTTTAACCACAGTGCACTTCGCCACGGTTGTTGTGTTTTCTGTATTGCGTTACTATTGTGAGGACATTTCTTACAGGTACTCAATCGTCTTGTAAATCTACTTTCCTAAGTAAAGGTAACTTAACTAATCGGGAGTATTGTATGGTAAATCTACTATCTTGATCACTGAATGAAGGACAGTTGAATGAGAGCAATAAAGGAGTCACTTGATCAATGGATAACTCTACTTAGTGTAGGTTGACCCGCCTGTAAGCCGGAAATCAAAAGGCAGTTGACCGATGGTGTTCAGAGGGCATGTGTGACTCCTGCCATTTGCTAGCAGTTTTATATATGCTGCCCTCAAAGGTAAGCTCTTATTAGGATATCTCTTAATTACTTTCCTTTGCGATGAAATATGAAGGGTAAGTTTTAAGATGCCAATTCCCCGATCTGCATGTTGTTGAGGTTTGGCAAAGCCGGATGAGATTGTGTTACAAAAGGCAATATTTTATTCTGTGCGTGCGCTATTTCCTCCGTTTTTAAGTATACTTTTTCTCCCGTAGAAAATGACTTCAGAGATATGTTTCTCAATGTACGTATAGGAACATGCAGCTGTTGAATCTTTGCGTAATTTATGTCGTTATCAACCGAATGTGCCGCAGTATTACTATTTTTTAGATACACCAGTTCCCTAGCGTATTCTTTTGACAGACCTTTCGCATGGTACGATCTGGCTGCTTCATGAAAGCTAAGATTTTGAAAAAATAAATTAATTCGGAATTTTATCTGCATCTGTGCTTGTATATGTTGGACTTCGGGAATATATCTGCAGCAAAGACATTATTCAATGTGTTCATCATCATCATCATCATCATCATAGTTTATTTAATAAAGCAGGTTGAGGGATAGGCAAGACATTACGTCCTGATGTGGACCTGCAATCCTCCAGGTTTGGAAACCCCCAGCTTTGGGTGGTAAGTGGTTGCTAAGCTTAATGTGATCAATTTTAGATTCATTACAATATACTCAGTGTGATTGGCTGCTGTAACTGCCCGGTTACAACCAACTTTCCGACTACACTGAAATATTAAGGATTCCTCTTCCAATCACATTCGAGGAAGCTGTAATAATTTCAATCAACGCGACAGTTTGTAGGCAAGATAAATACTCACTTCCTTAACGTTTAAATTTGATTTATTTGTATTCGCTTCTTCGCTTATTCTGCTGCTATCCTAATTGTTTATTTATAAAATCTTTTTGGTAAAATTCTATCGCATCTATCATTTTATGTACATGTTTGTCTCTTCGATGATAACTTTTTTACCCGCCGTCAATACAGCTGTATTATTAAAAATATTTTTTTAACTTTAACCATTTAAAGTTCTCTACCGAAAATGTTCTCTCCAAGCACCTCTCTGAAAACCGCATCAGTGAGGGAGTTTCCCAGTGACACTGAATTTCAGTGCGATCATAGTTACAAGCTAACATCGTCAGTATGACATTGGGACTATACATCTCTTATGAAGAGAACAATTTGAGGACTACACTGAGCGTTAAGTTACTACTATCTTGTGTCTTTTACATCTACTTCAGATCCAAGCTCTATTTCTTCGAGAAGCAGGGTGGGTCGTGGGCTCATTACATAATCAGCGGCCTGCTCGGAATCGATTAATCTCGTAATTCAACACAATAACAATGTCGTTGCGGTTAAGGTCAACGAAGAGCCTTAAATTAACACTTTCGTGTGTCTTTTACATCCATTGCGGATCCATCGACTTCGTCGAGGAGGAGCGGGGGAGGAATGTAGGCTCATTTCCTGTTCAGCGGCCAACTCGGAAAAGATTTATCTCGTAATTTAAAACAGTAACAACATCGTCGCGGTCAAGGTCAATGAAAATGTCCCTCAGAAAAGTTAAAGGCTTGTTCATTGTTTGGAATACGTTAAGGACGTGTTGCGTTGGTGACTCATGACGACGGTTTTCAAGGAATTGTATATTTAAGCAAGAAGCACCTAATCTTTCAGCCAGATCCCTCCAGTTTCCGGGCTTGGACGCGATGTCTAGCAGCATCATTAGTTTCGTACGGACAGCTTCTGGAATCTTTTTTTCTTTATGAATACGTCGCCGTGACCCAACTCCGTATTTGAAAGGATGCCGGCCATTTTCCTTTTAAAAAGAATGAGATCTTTGAGGATCCTGAAGAATATTGAAGTTGAGCAAAGGAAGCTTATGATTTCCACGGTAACTTTATTCTTAGCGATTTACATTCCTAAACAGCCGATTAAACCTGACTATTCATGAGAACACACTACCGGAGTGGCAGAAGTGTCATCCTCGATGAATTTAAATGTGAATTTTTTTTTTTTTTTTTAATTAAACAAGAAACTCAATGTGAGGGCTTTTTTGGTAGGAGAGATCACTTCTAAGTACTCACTAACCTCCATTAAGATATGGAATCTCTTCATATACTCTTCCCAATAATCGAAGTAATCTCCACTGTCTTCGTTTTCATCTACAACGAAATGAGAACAGCGTTTCAGCACCCGTTGAGTTTTTGTGGGGGCAAAATCGAACCGCGATTGCCTGAACTAGTAGTATCAAACGAACATTTCGCGGGGGGAGGGGGTAAAAAGATGATGAATAAATATGAATTCTGTCTCGGAAATATGAGTACTGATTAGAAAGCATTACCACCCCCGACAACCCACGGGTATTTGACTGTCATCTGTGCCCGGGGATGGGGAATTTGAACCTTGCCTGGGTGGGGTGGGGCATTTGAACCGGAGGTGTCCCGGGTTTTGATAGAGGATTTTGATGGTAAGAAGACTTCTTTCGTGAGCGAATGGCAAGGAAAGAAGATTCTCACGTCGCACAATGATGGTTACAGGAAAAACCCAACAGCAGCACCGAACAATAATACGTGACTTCTAAATTCTACAGCATTCGTTGATCACATTAAGAATCGTTCAATATTGTGTAGAGCATTTTAACGCAATTTTGGCCCAAGAGGGCGGGAATATGAACGGAAAAAGTCATGCCGGAAAGAGTTGTGCCGGAAAGAGTCGTACCGACAAAAGTCGTGGCGGCGTCATTGTACAACTTCTGGTTCTTTTCAGTGCTATAAAAATATGCAATAAGAAAGCATCACACGAAGTCAAAACGGACGAAATTTTGACAGCGCGCGCTATTTGTAATTTGCACTTGTGTTACAACTTCGCCCTCAAGTTACATGAACAATGCACTCGTCTTCAGCCAATCAGAGACGCGTAATTTTTCATGTATATAATTATCTTTTAACTACACTACAAGTGAATCCTCAACAGGAAGAGTACAATTACCAGCTGTAACCTACATTAGATATTAGATATGAGTGTAGTTTCTATTTTAATGAATAAAGAGCCTAATTTTCTAAAGAAATTGTGGTGCCGCGTTGGTGGAGGTAACAAGAAAATTGGGTATATCAACTAAGTTGAAATTGTAAATTGACAAACGTAAAGAGTTAAAAGCCCTTTGTCAGAGCGCCCTTCGCTCTGACGAAGGGCTAACCCTCGAAACGTCAACTTTTTAACTCTTTACGGTGGCCAATTTACAATTTCAACTTAGTTGACATCACCAAATAACCCAGTTTCTAGTTTAAGTGAGTTGCTAATTGTAAAAATAATGTCGATATTCTTTTTTAAAATGAAAGAATTACTAGTTGCAGATTTCTGAGAGTAAGCTACTATAATAAGATCATTATAGAAAAGAAAATATCAGCGGTTCATGTTCTCTTGTTTTAGAACATTTGATCAAAAATTATCAAACACATTTCAGTTTAACTCATGCATTACACCCTAACATCAGCATTCATATTCTCCTTTCTATCCTCTATACATTCCCTGTGGCACTGACACGGTGAATTTGTTTAATAGTCAAAGCTTTAAAGGTTGGGGAGAGATCAGTTTCGTTAGTCTCGTGGTCTTGATGAACAATTCAGCAGTTCTATTGTAGGGAGAAATCAGATGCAGATCATCTTTAAGTCTGAAGGGTTCACCTCGCGTATGGTACCGAGCAGATTCAGTACCAGAAGTGACACGCGTTTGACCACCCTGTACAAAACATATTGTTGCAATCCTGAATATGTAATTCTGGGTCAAGTTTAAAAATGGTCAAATTTTCTGTATCAGTTCTGGAATTATCTTAATATTGTACCAAGGGAAAATAATGGGACAGAGAGGGAAGCTTATGGTCCGGGCCTCGGGATATGTCTTTTTTCATGGACAGGATTTCGTAAGGGAATGTGTTTTCTAGGATCTCTGTATCTGATCTTTATACATATATATATATATATATATATATATATATATATATATATAAGACTTTATATATATAAGACTTTATTTATTGAGGATAGCACGTGATAGTGCACAAACACTAATAAACTTGTGGTCCTCTTGTTACCCACCTAACCCACCCCAGGGAGGACATCCATCACACAGTAATCTCGTGCGTGGGAAATTAACGTCTCCT